ACCACTGGCGTGAAAAGAAAACACGTTAACCCCTAAGCTACCAAAACAAAGCATTATACCCACCCTGCACTTAATACAGGAAAAAGGTTTTATGTTATTGCCATCAATAGTATTTTCAGTCTAGGTAAACTTAGGCTCAGTATTATTTGTTACACTGCTATACTGAGTCTAACAAACCGTAGTAGAAGGTCGCGTTAGCTAACCTTTGAGCGACCTATGACCGTCCAATCAAACAGACGGACAAATTGATTTAATCAATCAGGCAACGGCTACTATTTAGGCTTCGGCGTGCCTTACAAAATGTTTTTGGATTTTCTCTTCCCCAGTCGCTGACAGTGATCTCTCAACAAACGAAAATCGGTGTAGAAAAACAGATAATTGGCCTGCAGTATATACACTTGGGGGTTTCTGATGACATGGTTACTATCAGCTTATATGTCTGCAAGATGACAAAAAATGCTATTTTCAGCGACTGTTTACTCACTGTTGTGAAGACTGCCTCCGGGGTGTAGTGGTTAGAGCGTCCGCCCGGAGAGCGGAAGGTCGCGGGTTCGTTCCCCGACCTCGTCATACCAAAAGACGTTAAAATATGGTACTTGTTGGTCCCTGCCTGCGCTCGGCATTAATGGGTACAACAAGGACTGGTCGGCTCGGAGTCAGTATAATGTGTCTGAGTGGGGTATTCATGTTTCACTGCGGCATGGTATCTCAGTGGGCTAGCACTATAAAACCAGCTTAAGTCTGTGCTAGTACAAGCAGGCACACATACACATACACACGCATGCACGTCGTCATATGAGGAAATATTCTCCAGCACGACGTTAAACCCAATTTCACTTCACCTCACCTCACCTCACTGTTGTGAATCATGGCGTATCACTTGGAGGCGATTGTGTGGAACATTTTTGAGGTAAGAGTTTAATCGGTATGTGCGAAAGTTATCTTTCGTGATTTGGTCAATTCAAAAGGTTAGCCGACGCGACCTTCTATTAGGGTTTGTTAGACTCAGTATAACAGTGTAACAAATAATAGTGAGCCTAAGTGTACTTAGACTAGTATTTTATTCCCACCAATTATATTAAAAATCAGACCCACTACTTATTACCTGTAAATCTGTAAGCATTACAACAAAGCGTGCCTTGAAGCCACTCAAGAAGAGAAAATATTGCCTTTTCATTGTGTTATCAACTGACATGTTTTTTTATGATTTGACAGATCTGTACTCCAGCTGAACTCCTCCTTGCATACACAGGTGTACCTTTTCTGCTTAAAGTGGACTGCACGAATATGCATTCTTGTGGTATCACCACGAGAAAATGTTTTGTTACACAAAGTGCAAGTTGTTCCATTGGTATATTTCTGTATCAACTGAAAGTTGTTTGCTCTTCCATTCAATGATTTCTTCACATCTGCCATCACCGAGCTGGAGGCAATCGTTTTAGGCTTGCCAATGACCTTTCTATGTGGTATCTTTTCGTCCTTGACCTTTCGTTTATTGCATGTCTTAAAATGGCGAAGCATGTTACTTTTAAAATGGAATGGTTTACCACAGTTACTGCAGGGATACCTCGGAGAATTGTAAGGCTCCTTTGTCCTGGAATTTTCTTGCATGACATGTTGCTTTTCAATTTCACTACTGGTGCTGTCTGCAGTAGTGGATGGCATAGTGTTGTCCAAAACTTCATTCTGTCTGTCCTCACCTGACTGCAACAGTGACTGCAAACAGAAAAACAGATGTATTTCTTCAACAGCTGCACGAGATGGTTATTATAACTTTCAATTTACTACCAGCTGGCGAACAGTTATCGCCATATTTAGTGTTTTTTCACAATTTGTTCCATTGTTTCTTAACTTAATGAAATTTATCACCAAATTTATCTTGATAATAGATAGCTATTCACCAATGTTTCCAGGTTGTTTAGGTTCTACTACACTAAATCATAATCACTTACTTGCTGAGCCAGTGTTGTGTGGAAACTTCTGGCCTGATAGAGATGTGTGACAAATGTGATTGGATGAATATATGTAAGATTTTTTTGTTTTTTAAAAGAACATCCATCCGGTGATTAAACCTGACCACAATTTTAAGTATTTAATACAATAACTTTTATCACCATGACTTATGCATAATGTGTGTACAGATATTTTCAAGTACGTGACATTTGGTGCGGAACTGGGGTTGATGTGCCCAGCTTCCTGTGCTGGGAACATAGACATAAGTAAGCTGGAATTTGTGTTCTTATTGTAGTTAAAAGCCAGACTGTACCCATGTGTACATGGATTGGCTATTGACAGCCTGGATGATTTAAGAAAAAATAGAACATTTCTATAGAAGTGTATGGGAAAACATTTGGTTTTGTGTAACCTGTAGGGTTCGAGCACATTTCAGTAATTCATACTTTACATGCTTTCCTGTTTATATTTCACCATGGAAACAAGTTGGCATTAATGTAGAAGCAAATTTAAAGGTAATGGGAGTAAAGATAGGGCTGTTTTGAGTGGAATAGATTGTTTTAGCATCAAGGATATGAACGTTACTTCGTTTTGTGGTTGAACAGTGGCAAGAGACCCCCACAGTGAATCTAAAGTAATGGTTACGTGGCTTCTAACTTTGTTGGAACTGCTGAATTTGACAACAAATTAGGCTTAAATCACCACTGCCAGAACAGCATGGGTGTTTGAGTTAGTCTCCTGCGGGTCAAGTCATGTGATAAGGGTATCATGAGTATGAAATTGAAATATGTTCACTGCCAACAGCAGAACATGTCACAAACCCTTTTTTTAATATATGAACAGTGCAGCGTATGATCAGTTCTTTCTGTTCGACCCATTTTGCATATGGATCAACTTAATTTTTTTTTCTTTTTTTAAAAAAATACACCTTTTTTTTTTACTCATATAACTTTCAAAATTATATCAACAACTGTCCTATGGTGTATGTCCTATGGCTGTTATGGTCTTTATGATTTGACATTTAATATGATCTCAATGCTATTTTCAGCTTGTAGAATGCCTGTTGGTGACTTGGGAGGTGTATCTTCACAAATACAGCAGACGCAGAAGCCTTCACATCCAATTTGGTATTTCGACAAGTCGGGTGGAAGTCTGTTGTTGGCAGTGTGTAATCAAGCACACTAATTTTGCTTTGATAAGCTTAACCGCCTTGTAGAAGTTATGGTACTGACTGACTGACTGAGTTTGGTTTTACACCGCTTTTAGCAATATTCCAGCAACATCACGGCAGGGGACACCAGAAATGGGCTTCACACATTGTACCCATGTGGGGATTCGAACCCGGGTCTTCGGCGTGACGAGCCAACGCTTTAACCACTAGGCTAAACCCCAACCCCCACCCCTGTTATGGTACTAGGACATGTAAGTACATATAGTACATTTACATCCAGTCCGGTTAAGGCACCACTATGTCTCACTATCAAATCCATCACTCTTTCACCCTCATCCATTAGAAATTTCTGACAGTGCTCCCTTAATGCCTGACTGTGCAGTTAGCCAGAATTTGTGTTTTTATTGTAGTTTAAAGGCCAGACTGTACCCATGTGTACATGGAATGGCTGTTGACAGCCTGGATGATTTTTAAAAATATATAATGTTACTATAGAAATCTATGGGAAAACATTTGGTTTTGTTAATCTGTACAGTTGGCGATCATGTTTTTCTGAAAAACTGCAACAGGAAGGGCGGTAGCACCAGTACATGTTGTGCCTTCCCAACAAATAATAAAAGCAGTCATTGCCACTTCTGAATTTTTCATGTTATTCACCAAATATGATAAATTTGGTAATACAACTATTGTCTTTCAAACCTTGACATATTGAACAAAAACTGGAAAAAGTTTAAAAAAATGAAATTTAAAAGAACAAAACTCACTCTCATTGTGTCACTGAATGTTGACGAATGCTGATATAAGCTAATTTCATAGATGCTTTATTCACCTCATTTAATTTGTTTGTAACTGCCCAATTGTAACTGAATGGATGATATGAAACTTTAATCATCAACTGTTTCACGTCAGCATTCAACTTCATTTTTCATCAGGCATGTGTATCCCGTGCACGACGAGATAGTGGCTGTTCCGTTTCTGCAGTTTCACCCCGCCGCGACAGATAACAACTTTTGCGTTTTCAATGATGATAGTTTCTTAAACAACTTTTTGGGTGGAGTCCGGAAAATTTTCAAATGTAAGAAAGCTGTTGGGTATTAGTAAATGATAAACATGTGTACTATTTATATTTATGTGGCAATTTTGTACAATGATACACTTTGCAATTCATCAGTCCGTTTCTGACTCAAACGGACTGTAGGTACTGAGTTTGAAATGTGATTTCTCATATATAGGAACAAATATATACTACTTTTGAAATAAAAGTAAATGCTGTTAATTTGACATTTAATAATTGTGGTCCAATCAAGTTAAAAAGGAAAATGCTTATTAGTATTATCAGTATTTGCACACATCTACATTCAGTTCAAGGGTTTTAACTATTACTGTATATTACCGTAGATAAGCCAAATTTTGAGGACCCCTCTGTAGAAGGGGTCGGCTTATCTTTGGGTTACACTTTCATCAAACTTTTTTTCAGGGGGTAAGAAAACACATCGTATCGCTTCGTTTGCACAAACAAGAGAAGACAACTTGTCAGTAAAGACGTCAAATTTGTTTCGGGCAAGTGAAAAACATAATTTGCTCGTCCTAGAGGACGAGTACATTTTCTGACTCAAAAGTAACATTTTTCTTTTTCCCTTAAGTTCAGCTATCTTAAATGGTGAAAGAATTCAATTTTGTCCAAATTTTTGTACGGAAGACAAAGTAAGTAATGTTTATTGTACTTTTACTCCAAGCAAACATTATGAAATAAAATAATTTAAATTTATATTCATTGAGATGCATGATCAATAGGGCAAGAACAGTGTTAGAAGGATGAGTGGAAAGTTCATATTTCTCAGATTTTTAAGTTTTTAGCCCTGACTGCAGCAATCCTCTTTTTCTCATCTTTTCTTCATCTGTTCCAGTTTCTCAGAAGTCATTCATTTGTTCTCCCTCCACATTTCCTTCTTCGTTCCACTCATTCTTTTCTTTGTTCCTCTCTTGCTTTTCTTAACTCTTTCTCTGCTTTCTTCTGCACCTGTTTAACATTACTTCTTATCTATCGTCCTTATTCTTTCATTTCTCTTTCATTTTCTCAATCATTTCTCTCCCATCACCACTTTTGCAATATCAACTGTTTTACTTTCATGCTTGCTTGGAATAGGGGCGTTTGGCAGGACTAGCATGTCACTGAGATAAAGGGGTATCAAATCTGAAGAAACAAGGGGTGGTTAAAAAATTCCAGCACATTTCGCAGGACAGGACAGAAGGAGATGGCTGTTTATTGGAGGTTGAAGGCTGAGGTGGATATGACTGTGTGGGGAATGACGGAGCGACAAGCTGGGATTTGTCAATGGCATGAGGAGAGAACGGAATGATTCCCGTTTTTCTGAACGACTCTGAAGGCGAACAAACCTAGTCAATAGAGTGGCTCTGAACAAACAAGAATCGAGCTTTCCCTATTACCATTTGGCTGTTGACAAATCCCAGCTTTGTAGCTAAGTTTGTGAACTTGGCCTTTAATGAACACCTTTAATGGATACATCTAGGGGGTGCAGTATGTGGTTAGAATGAGGTCGTAGGCATAGCAATTCCATTTGGTTCTCAACTGCACATTCTAAGAGCTCAAGCTTGATATGACAGTCATGGTTATTGAGAACTAGTCCTGGTCTCTCTCAGGTCCAGGAGAACTAGTCTCTCATGTCCACAGTTGGGAACGAACAACTTCGTGAACCACTCCATAAACAGCTTGCTGTCAACATAACCACGTTCAGAGCTAGCAAATATCTAGTCGGCAGGGAGACCATCAGTGTAATTTCTATGTGGCAGTGACTTAGAGAAAATAAGCATAGTTGGCAATACCCTGCTATTGGCACATACACGAACTGTGGACGTCACATGATCCGACGAAGTCACCGTCTGTTGATAGGTGTGAGTCCTTTGTTGGCAGGTCACATTCTCCCTGACCATCATCTTCCCACTGAACCCTGACTCATCAACATTAAGTAACCGTCTCATTTGACATCCTAGTTCTGGAGCGATCTTGTCTCTCTGGTCGTTGCTCCTGAATTTCAGGGTGCCGAGACAAGAATGATCTGAACCACCTGTCAGAGGGTCCATCCTTGGAAAACAGTGTGGGCCTTTTGGAATTCCTGACTAAAGTTGAAATGAATGATCGACTGATAGAACGAGTCAACGGGAAACCTTGGTTGGACATATTTGTCAAATAATTTACGAAGCTTGTTTCCTCCTCAGCGGTTAGCATGGGTGAGGGACCGGGTCTACCACCCACCGGCTTGCCAAGTCGCCCCTTTACATGGTCGTCAATTGTCTTGCGTGGAACGCCAAAATTCCTTGATGCCTCTGACACTGTTGATGCATTATTCTTTACAGCCTGTACCGACAAAATAAGCTTGTTCGGTGAATAGAGTTTCCTCTTTTTCGCTGTCAGCATCTAAAATTTGAACAAAATGTACTTTGTCTAATATTCAGTATTGTCTACATTAAAAAATTCCTTTTAAATACCTTTAATCCTTTATCTTTTTGTATTTGTTTCAAATTTATTTAAGGCTTATGTAAGAAAAACGTAATTTTTTAGCATAACATCACTGCCACAAGGCTAATTTGCATATCAAGTGACCAGACTTCTCTCTTGTTTGTAAACAAATGCACATGTTCGTAATTATATGAAGACACTGGCCTTGTACAATTTTTTTTGTGCACTCTTCATAGTGTTTTTACATTGTTACCTAAATATTCTTCTGCAACTGCGACAGTAATGTTTATGACAACACATATTTATACATCAAATGGGTTGCATTGTTTGTTGTCCGCAGGGCATCGATGACACCACGAGGAGCTGTACAACCTATGTAAACAAAGGATCGCTATGCAAATTGAAATAGTGTTACACGTTTCAGGATATTTTCTCATTGATAGTAAACTATTCTATCAAAGCAGTTTAATTAGTTGTGTAGTCTCATAAAAAATAAAAGCGTTTATATATATATATTCAATATATATATTGAATGAACTTTATTATCATCACATCTCTCTTGCAGCGACCATGCAGATGACACTGCGTGACATGACAGCTGTGATTCAGTGTGAATGAAATCAGCCTGTCCTCTACTAATTTGTCATAATCGACTTACAGTGATTTTAACTTTTGTAGCATATCGGTTTAGTGATGTCTCAATAAGTCAAATAGTAGAAAGTACAACTACAAGTCAAGCTGGCTGCGCAAGCGCCACAGCCAGGTGTTGGCGATACCTGTTACGCGGCGATAGCCGTTAGCCAGCCAGTAAAGGACATTTTGTCACAAATTCCATTCATAGCATTCCAGCCACAGATGCCTGTAGTTATGGGAATTAATTGGGTGCAGGCTCGGACTTGGTGTTAGAAACTTCCCACTTGGGGTGGAAATAACTTTAAAATTGCTAGTGAACTCCGGAACAGTGGCACATGTAATATCACTTGCCCTGATATTGTGATAATTTTTCCACAATACCGTCCATTTTCTTGTTGATTTTTTAAAATAAACATGTAATTTTCTGAATAAAATTGATATTTTATACTTATCCTGACTCATGCTTATTGCTTGTCTCCTTCCTTTTGCGAACGTTAGTGGAACACTTCATGAGTTATCTGTCTGGCCGTTTTGGCGGGAAATGTGGCGCCACCGCTCCCACATGCTTCACTCTCTCCGAATTATGAGCCTGACACTTTAATTTGCAGGGAAATCCAAAGTGTCTAGTGGGGAGGTTGGGAGGGCTTATCCATGAGTCAGGATAAGTATAAAATATCAATTTTATTCAGAAAATTACATATTTTTCCTTATCCTGACTCATGCTTATTGCTTGTAGAATCCGTCGGATTTGGTGGTGGGTCAAGCTACTCCTGGATTTCATGTAGTGATTTACGTCTTATATACCCCCCTATGGGAACTTCTTGTTGGCACTTCTATTTTACTGCTAGTCTCTGCTGCTGCTGTACTTCCAGCTGTCTCTGACGGGGGGACCACAATTGTTAACTTTTGGTCCTGGCTTCTGTTAACATTTTATGTGGATTTTGCGACTCCATCTCTTGATGCAAGCATCAAGTGGAGAAGCGACCCTTTCCTGTACGAGTATCCTTACAAGTACTAGGTCATATCACTTATGCTTGTCTGTCCTTAGACGTGCATATAGACTCAAAAGCTGAACTCTTCCGAGTGTAGGCTTTTGCAAGTCATGTGATAAAAGGGCGAGACTTCGTCTCAGCGCCTTTGAGGGACTGTCAACTGTTGTGCAACAACCAGCGGGCCGAAATGGTGAATGCCGGAGACGTCCTCGGTGGCAATGTCCCTCAGGTAATGGTTGGCAAACACCATGTCTGATTTCCAGAAGCAGCCCTCCATTATCGTCCTGATAGAGCAATTCCCATGTAGAGAGAGTGTTGACGCCAGAGTCTGTGTCGCTGTCGATATCGGGACGAAAAGACGCTTGAATTTCCGTCTCCTGGTCCTGGATCTTTGTAGGTAGACTTTCAATGCTCTTACTGGGCACAAGGATAGGTCCTGCATATCCTGTGATCCAAGGACTGATGATAGTGCTGGGACGTGGAATTGTCTGTCCGGTTGACCTGGCAGTTGATTCTTTGCGATGAAGTCCCATCGCAGTCCAATATGCACGGTGTTTTGATTTTCATCAAATCGTGTTCTCTAGAAGTCCAGAGCATGTATTTCCGACATCCTTGCTGCTGTTGCTAAGGTGATCAGGAACAGAAGACGTCTTCTCGTCAAGAACTCGAAGGATGTCCTCTCTAATGGTTCGTCCTTGCTGCTGTTGCTAGGTGATCGCCACTGGTGAGATGTCTGGAACTACGTTGAGGTCCCAACTACGGGTCCCACGCCGCTTTAAATCTCTGTTGTTGGTCCTCCAATTTAAAAAGAGCGTAGTAAGGCCAGTAACTCTGGTACTTTCGTCAGTTTTGCACTCGTCCTCATGGTGATGACTGAGCTCAATGCCGCTAGGTATGTTGAGAGTGTTGACCCTTTTAACCGCCGTTTGTCGTAGGTGACAAAGGTAGTCCGCCACTTGAGGGTGTGTCGCCTTTATGGCTGTAAAGCCGGTCCTCACAGCGTATGTCTCGAAGCTTAGCCACTTGTCAGTCGTATTAAGGTGCGTGTAGACTTCGCGTGAGAGCTAGTGTGACTGCTTTCGCTGCCCTGGCGAATATCCTCTCTTGTTCAAGCACCTTGATACAATCCAAATGTGTAGCGGAACACCTCTGGGTTGCCGTGGCGCTGCTTTGTGTGAGGATGTACTAGTAGATTCGGCCCACTCTGGTAGTTGCAGTTGAGGTTGTCCTAATTCTTGTATGAGAATGGGGAACCATATTCTCGCTGGCCAGTAAGGCGACCAAAAAATCAGTTGTAGGTCCTTCGTCTGGCTGATTTTCTGCAACACCCTCGGTATTAGAGCTGGTGGTGGAAACGCGTAAGCGTTTAGTCCTTCCAAGGAGTCGCTTAGAGCGTCCGTTGCCCATGCTCGAGGATCTGGTATTGGTGAGACGAATGTTATCAGTTGATTGTTGAATCTTGTGGCGAAGAGGTCTATTAGTGGTGCTCCCATCTCTTGTATGATCTGCTTGAAGATCTCTGGATGTAGCATCCATTCTGTTGGGGATGGCTGCGTTGGACGGGATAGTGCGTCTGCTATCACATTCTTGGCTCCTGGAATGTGGCATGCTCTTATGTGGATGTTCAGGTTGTCTGTTATGCTGAACAGTTGAAAACAGAGGTCCAGGAGGTTCCCCGATCTAGTTGATCCTTGCCTGTTTATGTAGAACGCCCCTGTGGAGTTGTCCGTATGCACCATCAGATGAGCATTCTCCAGAATGTTTGTCCAGTGGAGTATGGCGTTTAGTACTGCTTTCATTTCCAGCATGTTGATGTGCAGATCTTTCTCCTCTTTGGTCGATGTCCCAGCTGACACTTCGTCGTCGAGATGTGCTCCCCAACCTTGGAGCGATGCGTCCACGGCTGGGCGACGAAAAGAGTCCATCTCTCCTTTGAAGGTGCTCATTTTCTTGTCTCTAGCCTTCTGGATGCCTGCGAACTTCGACTTGCCCGAGTAGCGCTGGGACGTCTGCCTGATGACACTGGCTAGTGTATCGATGGACTTTATCATGAGGACTTCTCTGGAGTCTTTGGCAACTTCTTTGGCGACGTCGTCAATCTCCCCTGCGAAGATGGATGATGTCGACCATGGGGCTCTGTACAGCGACTTCGTGAAGCGTTCGCTCCAGGTGCAGGATGCCAGTAGTCCTTGTCGTCTCGCCAACGTCAACGCTGCTGAGATGGATGATAGATGGTCCGTCATAAACTGCTGGTCCTTCTTCTGCATGAGTAGAGCAGAGTAGATCATCCGGTCCTCCTCTGCGGTAGAGTCCCTGAACTTGGCTATGAGCGTCTCATTCACTGCCCTGGATCTGTTCAGGCCGAAGAACATCCTTCTGGACATCGTCTATATCTGCGCCAGCTTTTTGTCGTCAATCTTATAAGACTTGGTCCGGGCGTCGTTGATGACCTTGTAGTTATCATCAATCTCTTGTGCCTTCATGAAGGGGTCCATACTGTGTAGGGAGAACTTCTTAGCGTTGAACTGTGGAATATTCGGCGCTTGGGATCTCGTTGCCTTCCTGAAGGCTGCGTCCAAAGTTCTCTGGAACTTCCGAGATGGGATCAATTGGCGGTAGAGTGATCGTGTCGACATCATTGTCCTGCATCAGGTACGTGAGTGCTGCATTCTCTTCCTCAGAGGGTGACGCTAACTCCAGTCCGCTGGCCATCCAATATCTTATCTCTGCGTCCGAGAAGATAATACCGCCATCGTCCTCTGTTTCAGGGGCGCTGAGCTGGTATCTTGATCATCCTCCGCTGGGGATGTGTGTGGAGACCTGCGTGGAGACATGCACGGAGACCTGCGTGGCGTTCTGCATCTGCGATGAAGGGATGTCCGAAGGGGCAGCCCTCTTCTTCGAAGTGGCGGACAACGTCCCACGCCCATCCTCCGAGAACATCTCCGGCGGATCACTGGAAGGAAGAGGGTCATCTGACAGCAGTTGACACGTGAGGGACTCAGCCGGCTTATCCATGACTTGAAAAAGTCGTCTGGACTTGTCTTATGCAGAAAATATATTTATTAAATTCAATATTGGTTAAATGCTGACAAAGGTTGCAGCGAGAGCTGGAAGTACATGGTGTTGTGCAGCTAGGGCACAATAAATGCGGGTCTGCAGCAGAGAATCGGAACCTACAACGAAAACAGGTTTTCATGAAATGTAAACAACTGAACAAACACGGACAAAACCGTGAATAAACAGTGAAAAATACGAATAAATTTCAAACCATATTGTTGAAGGATACTCCCTAAACCCCTAGAAAGGTAATGTATAGGGTAATAACTAATAAATAAAAGGATATAGTGCCGTATAGAAGACACAGGCACTCTCTCAACCGTCCACTAGGGCGAAGAAGGAGAGAGTGAAGCATGTGGGAGCGGTGGCGCCACTTTTCCCGCCAAAACGGCCAGACAGATAACTCATCTGTTTTTATTGAAGGGAGCTTCATTAGAAGATACAAGTGTTCCACTAACGTTCGCAAAAGGAAGGAGACAAGCAATAAGCATGAGTCAGGATAAGGAAAAATAACATAATTAACATTGGAAAGTCAACTGAACACCGGTAGAGTGTGATATACAAATCAACTTGCCAACTTTCCACCCCTGCCCAGTTGTTAGGGTACAATTGCTTGATCTGTTCACTCACCTCTTTCAACAAACATGCTTTACTGGGAACCAGTTCTGCTCTTGAATCACTACTAAAAACCCTAATTTTGTCAAATATGACCAAAATGCTTCCCGCTATTACAAAACCTTCCGAACACTTATATCAATTGACTGACAATGCAGTGGTCAATGTTAAATTCTGGCCAAGACAATATATTTAAGAAATTACTTCAACCAAAAATACATTGACTATAACTAACAGCTCAGGTCACATAGCTTTCTGTTGTCAATCTATTAATTAAAACTCAAAAAGCAACCAGCATTACAATCATAACAGACCAGCAGTTACCACTTCAGTTACCAGCACAATCACAAGGAAGCTTTCCGAACATGCTGAAGTTGTCATGTCATAATATGTATCGATTGCCTTCACCACATTCTGTGTTTCAGCTATACATATGTTAAGAAATGACATGTACTTTAAACATAAAACTATTACTTTAAGATAGCAGAAGATGACCATCATGGCACAGTGAAGAAAGCAATCAATGTATCGTGTAGAACCATAATAGTCAGTAGTGTTGGGAATCGGGAAACCAAATCCACTTAGGAGATAAACGTACTGTGTTTGGAAATTAGATGAATGTTAAACCGAATTGATAGTCTCTAAATTTTATTTGAAGCCGAATGCGTAGCGTGAGGTTTCAAATGATTAATTTAGAGACTATCAATTCGGTCTAACATTCATCTAATTTCCAAACACAGTATGTTTATCTCCATTCTACCATAACCGATTTAACATCGAACTTCCTGGTCCTGCGGAAGACACTGCGTAATCCGGCATGGATGAGAGGCAAATTGAACTCGTCTGATAAAGGAGTGGTAGGTTCCGTTCGTATTTTTTTAACATTGCAACATAAAAAACATTCTGTCCAAAGAAAACAAACTACTGTTTATGCAATGCAATAATGTAACACCTAAGAGCTTGGTTTTTATAATCATAACTCCACAAGACCGAAACCAGCCTATTGTTTTGTGTGCCGTATTACTGTACCCCCCCTGGCCACAGTATAATGGAATCGTCTGAACTACTTATTTTCTTGAAAGTAGACAGTTACGCAACAGTTCGAAATGGCGGATGAGCCAGTCTTTACATTTTGCGAAAGGTTGAAATTCGAAGTAACAGTGGAAAATACTTGACTGACTGTCGAACCTGAACCCTGCAGAATGGAAGAATAGATCCTTTTCTGATCGACCTATAACCTGTAACGCATCAATGACTGTTGATTTTTATGACCGGCGAGTGTCGATCATGATTTCACGTACGTGCCTCCACCCCGGCATGCGAGGAAGAGTGACAGTGCAGCTTTGTGTACATGCGACTAACTTGGGATTCCTTGGAACATTGTTCTCATCATTTGGGACTGGATTGTGGCCAACCTTTTCAAACTGTACGAACATAGCAGTGACAGCCTTCGGGGAAGGTGGCAGAGAACTGAATTCTCGCGGTTCAGTTTTTGACATTTTGAACGATGCAACGGGACATGATTGAGTATGAGTGGCAAATTTTGTGTTTCGCCTGACCGTTATCTTGCATTAATTTCCCATTCTAAACGGAAACAAATATACCATTTACCAGGTAGGTAAATGTTTACGAACGTTTTGCCGCACAAATAGGGATAGATAGGGATGTATTTTTACAAGGTTTTCTGATTTATATGTTAGATATTGTAATTTTTTTGTTTGGGGCTGTGTATTGTAATTGAGTTTGAATATTTTTATAATAGAAGGTAATAATTATGATAGTAAGGTCCCCTAATAATTGTGGAGGAGAAATCGTATAATTGTATTTTACGAGTTTTAATAAATGTTTCATCAGCATTTCCATCACGTCTGTTGTGTTGATATTAGTCATGTTGGTGGCCAAGCTGAAGTAGTACGGCAGTGTTGTATATGTGCGCAGTGAAACGCCGTGAAATCAGACGCATTTTCAATCCAAATTGATACCGTCTGAATTTATGGCTTGACCAATCAAATTCGAGCATTTCATGTAGCCATGGTAGAATGTCGATTATCGGAGGACCTGTGGTGAACGATTATCGATTGTAATCGAAATATGTACATTTTTATTGTAATCACCAATTCTAAGGGTTTTCCCCCAGTTTTTTTCTAATTGATGTTAATGTAATTATTCTGTTTATTTATACAACAAATATCTATCAGTATATCTCATTTAGTTCACAATAGATGCAAGATATATTCATATACAGGTTACAGTAATATTTACCGTTGTGATGAATGCAAAACTATGAATACAATGCACATAGCTTTACACTGTTGAGCGCATGTTTGTTTGTGAATATTCGTCGAAAATTTAATGGTTAGTTTACTTCATTCAAGTGTGTTATACTAAAACAACACAACTGTGATTAATCGAAAATGTTTTTTACAATCGATAATTATTTTAAATCCATCTTTCGATCGATTTTCGATTATTTCCGATCATCGGAACACCACTGATAGACAGTAATCCTATTTCCAATAAAATAATCAACTTACTATGTTAGCTGTGTGATCTTGTTGTGTTGAGATCCTTCTTGACTTCCTCCACTCTCCCACCTGGCCAGAACCTTCAGTAATATTCGATAGAACAAACTCCCAAGATCTGCTCTTCCTGGTCCTTTGGGCCTTACCATCACTTGCTGGTGCCTGTGAAGTTCCTCTGGTCAATGATTTTCCTTTTGCCCTTAATGTCAATGAACGCCCTTTTGTCCTTGAATTTCCTGTTCTGTGTTGGGTTGGAACAGAGTTGTATTCCATCATAGATGTTTGACTGGAGGGTGGACTTGAGCTTAGAGCCCCTGTTTGAGGATTTCTTTTTAATCTTCTGACTTTTGATAAGTGTGTTGACAAACAGTGATATTTCAATGAACTGAGGTGCTTGAACTTTCTCTTACACACCTTGCACCGAAATGGTGACATTTCTGTCTTCCTAATACACATGTTTTGGACATATTGAGAAAGTAAATATTTACTCCTTAATACACTTGTGAATCTGTAATATGACATAGATGATGAATGTTTCTGAAGTTTTGAGGTGATGATTTTTCTGGCTCTACAATTTCTAGCTTTGTCTTGAGCACAGTGAGATAAAGAGTTTCCACAGGAATCAGTATCAGAGGTGTCAGGATTCTCATATATGGCATAATCCAGGCCATCAAACTGTTCGGTCTTCCACGAGCCCTAGGTCTACTTCAACACTGCTCGTGTAGAACTACATGACCCACTTGAATATGGACATGTATTTTGTGCTGTCATATCTTCTGGTGCAACTTCTGAGCTCAAATGTGAAGATTCCCCTTCTTTATGTTCATTCAATGATCCTTTTTGGGAGAGATATGTTTTCACAGCTTCTAACACAAAAGGACTAGATGACTTTTTTTTATTCATCTGTTTTTGATTCATCTGTTTTTCTGTTGCAGAACTCTTTTTCTTTGTACTAAGATTCACATACTTTGCAGAGGAATATTGAAATCTGTTAATGTTTAATCCTTTAAATACTGTTTGTGGTCTTCCTCTTTTTGTTTGAATGACAGCTTGGTCTTTTCCAGCAGACCTGAATAAGCACCATGAATTCCTATCTCCACCTGGTCTCTTCCCAGCTACTATCTGAGCTTCATCCAAGAGCTGCCTAGTGGGCTCACTTCTCCTTCTACCTGGCTCACCAGATTCATGTTCATGAGAACTGTCCTTGGTGTGAGGTCTTTGGTCTAGATATGCATTACTGAATGATGGGGAGCTAAATGCTGTTTGACTGTTACTAATAGATTCCACAGATAAAATGGTAGGTAGTAAAGGTGATGCTTCCTCCTTCAACACTGTTGCAGGTTGCTGCATTCTATGGGAATCATTGTCATAGTGTTGGCTTTGGAGATAACCCTGGGAATATAACATGGGTGAGGCAGTTGACTGCACTTGGACAAATGGTGCAGGTGACTGCATTGACTGAACCTGACCATATGATGCGGGCGACTGTGTTAATGTTCCCATAACAGCAAACCCCTGGTCGTCTGGACTCTGGAGCTGCTGTTGTTCAATGACCGGTGCCTGAAGTGATGCAGTTGGCTGCAGTATTTTGGACTCAGCTTCAAAGCTCTGATCACCCAAGCCTGACAAGTGAGACTGCTCCAGCAAGGCAAGAGCTTTGGACAGCTGTAATACCTTGGCGGCCATCTTTATCTTGTGCAGAGTGTCCTTGGTGACCACAAGCTCCCCAGTGTAGAGATAGTCCAGCATCATCTTCAGTATCTCCGACTCTATATCTGAAACCATAATTACTGTACTCATAGATTAAGAATACCCATGTTTGTTTAAACATGTCAATTCTTTCATTCACCCACTGAAAACTGCATCTGTGACAAACCTGATGTAGTACTAGGGTCATGTAGTGCTTGAAATTAAGGGGCTTCTGCAGTCCTATTGTACTGTATTTATATAAGACCCCACTAAGTCTTTACCTTTTAACAATAGAATTATGACAAGGTCCCCTTGGCATTCATGCTCAATGTTATGCATATTTTTTGCAGCAATTCGTTATTTTGGGAGATTACAATTTTATTGCCTTGTGGGTCACTAATGAATGCCTAGAATAGCATCATTATTAAATCATATAAGAATGTTTGACAATATGTTGATGTATAGGGACAGTTGCTTTACATCTGCAGCATCAACACTTAAGAAAAGTGTACATTGATGTATTGGAATTCAACAGCAGTATCACTATACCTAATATGAATCAATATAGTTTAAACTAATATCATGAATATACTCTACAAACATGTAACATATATCTGAATACAGAAGCATACTCCAGGGAATAATTGCCTAATTTGGCATTGTAATATGTCTGAGTATATTTGAATAAGATTTAACCTTGCTATCTGTCTTAAACTGCAGGATCATGTTGTTAAACCAAGAAATTGCCATTATAAATGGTATTTGAATTGTCAGGAATCAATCATGTGGCTAACACCAAAGGCCATATTCAAACATAAAGCATAATGCATACTTTAGCCCCACACAACATCACGTAGAAAATAATTTGCAGAGAACAGTGATAGCTTACTTAGTTTCAGGCTGCCTGTGTCTGACACTATGGACTGCATCACATTCCTGCTGACTGCCAGATGCCGAAGAAAATCTGAATGTGCTGCCAGAACCAGCCAATGAGCTTGAATGTCCACGCCATCACTGGAGGTCAAGGTCACATCACACAGAGTCTTGTCCTTATACAGCCTATTGAGACCTTGTTTCAGACTCAGACCGTGCTTGCCATCAAAGAGAATTTCCATGGCAGTTTCATCCATCCTGAAGCCATATCATACCACAGTATCATTCATGTAATTTAGTGTTCAGAAATACAGAGCCACAGTTTGTGGCACTATATCTGAATTGAATAATGAAGAAATAATGGTGACCATGTTCGTGTTGGAACTAGAATTCTGTGGGCAAATAGTAGAGACACCATAGGTGTTAAAATTCATAGCAAGTTTGAGGTTCATAGGCCATGTTGTTTCTGAAGAGTCAAAAATGCATCAACACTAGAAATTATGGCATATGTGAATATCAAAATATGCCTCAACATGAATATTGTTAAACTAAATACCACACATACTTCCTTCATATCAGATTTTATAAAATGCACAGAAACAGCTGAGAAATGGAGAAAACGAAATATGCAATATATGCTTTGTCAAAGGGTGAGTGAGTGAATTTAGTTTTACGCCGCACTCAGCAATATTCCAGCTATATGGCGGCGGTCTGCAAATAATCGAGTCTGGACCAGACAAGCCAGTGATCAACAGCATGAGCATCGATCTGCGCGCAATTGGGAACCCATGACATGTGTCAACGCTTTGTCTAAGGATCTAAAAAGTCTTTGCAGGTCTGTCCATAAAACATAAAAATACTTGGTTTGCCCTATACTAGTGAAAGAATGACAAAATATTGCTTACACATCCACAACATGCAGAACCTCGGCTTTCAAGTAAATTTCTATTTCAGCTTCAATGAGTCAGATCTGACCAATGTGACTGCTGTTTTAACCTCTTACCACAGTGATGAGGATCATTACTCATAGACGATTACATACAAATCACTTTAATACACAATGAACAGTAATGACTACAGGAGAATGCAACATTCATTCCTCAAACCCCTCTCCCTGCTTCCATATCTCCTTTGAACTCATTTCAGTAAACCTACACAAATACGTAGATCCATTCGTAAGTTTTGCAAAATCTCAAATTACTTGCCCTTGTTTTCATTTTCATTTTTGCAACCAACCACAGGAATGAATCAAGAGGTTAGTGTTGGATGGACTGGCTCTAGAATCCATGAATTCTTCATTTTGATTTGGCAGTCAATATTTGCTCAGGGTTAATCTTCGGCTGAACTTGACACAAGACAAGTACTGCTGATTTTACAGAAGATCCGGGTTATATAGTTGGTCTTCAGTAACCCATGCTTATTGTAAGAAGCGACAAACGGGATCGGGTGGTCAGACTCGCTGACTTGGTTGACACACGTCATCGTATCCCAATTGCGAAGATCAATGTTCATGCTGCTGCTCACTGGATTGACTGGTCCAGACTTGATTATTTACAGACCGCCGCCATATAGCTGGGAATATTGCTGAGTGCGGCATTGAACAACAAACCAGTGAATTTGGATGTTGTGTGATATGTTTGTCGAAATTTTTGTTTTGTTGACAAGATGACTTATTTGTACTAATTTATGGATCGTTACTATTGTCAAGTGTAAAGCCACATTCTACATGTTGGCTTCTCATGAGTTATCTCCCTGTTAAAGAGTGCATCTTCAGGATGATAGTTCATGTAAACACAAATCCATCAACAGGGGGATGTACATTTACTTCAGTCTTTACATCCAATCTGACTGTCATTTTATCCTGAAAATAATATTACACTTTCTTTGAAACAAGCTTGAATATGATGCAAAATGAGCAATTGTAGATCGAATTTGTGAAATACCGTGCCGTACCATGTTTTCGGGGGAACCACGTTTTCGGGGTATGTCTTTTTCCCGTAATTTCTCGCGTACAGTGAGATGACAGCGCCACCTGTAAACACCGTCTCCAGTGCAGAAGCTTCTGGGACACAAAATGTTTGAAATATCCAGCTTTTACGTAAGTTGTGACCTATATTTCTTTCAAAGTACTAAAAGTTCTACCCTAGAACGTAATGCACTTTCAGAACCTTCATAAATGTGATCATAACTTTTGAAATAAAGCTTGTATCTTGTCAAGCGGACCATTGTGTGCTAGAGTGAAAAGCCAAGCAGATCACGTGACACTAATGGAATGTTGCCGACGTAATAAAAAAACTATGGAAGACCGAATTGGTCATCTCTTACATATTTTTTTTCCCCGTGTTGCAGAATTCGTCTCGGCTTGTGACCACTGGGTTCATTTAAAATACTGCTGCGATGTCACTGTACTGCGCAGACATGACGTGTTTTATTGTCCCTGCCATGGCGTGCCAAGCAGACAAGAAGAATGAATGTGCACATGATTGAATAACTTACCTGTAAATATGTGAATTTCACACACAAAAAACCCACTCAAATAATCAAGAAAAAAATAACCAGTTTGCTTGACTTTTTATTAAAATGCCACGTATTTGTTGACAATGTTGAATGTGAATACATCTCCTGGGCTTCCATACAAGGTCGTGACCCCATGCTATATAACGAGTAACCCGAAAACATGGTACGTCACTTCTCCCTCTCGCGCTGGCGGACAGACATGAAATGTTCGCTGCATTGGAAAGCAGCGGACAACAGAACATTCTGACAATAAATTTATGAAAGGTGAGATGATATTTAATTGCGGAATTCAGTTTTGGTAATCTACTTATACACAATAATTTACATATCATCTTTTACACCATGGACGATGGTACTGCCAAGAATAGGGAATCTTCAAAACTGGGGATAAAATGGGTGTTATATATAGGATACACAATGATTACCTGTCAAATAAGCTTTTGTCTTTAAACAAATGCTACAACACTTAATCTCTAATAATATACATTTATAACTACGATAGACTTCAGATGGGAATATTTCCGGTGATAGCCCTGTGTAGACATCCTTGTTACGATTCTGTGGACAGTTAGGTCTATCAATTTAAATACCTTTCAGTTCCGAAACGGAAAGGGGCGTTTCAAGACTAAAACGCTCAATTTTGACCGGCCCGGAAACACAATGAAACTGTGAACCGATGCGATGACCTGTAAATCACGTTGTGGTTGTTACTGTTAGCAAAGAAGTCATGAATTGTTTCTGAATGTTTATCAATATTAACATCAACATAATGTAGATGAAATATACCTGTCTGTTATATTACGTGAGCGTCTGTATCATTAATCCACCAACATTGACACACTCTTGGCATCTATTGCACTTTCAACTCGTCCACCAGGCCCGAATGTTTAGCCATCTTTGTTGATGCAGTCGGCTGTAGAACAGAGTAGCCTCCCTTATTTTACAGTTGATTATGGGATTCATTCGTAACTACTCGTGTCATTCCGGCAAGTCCGTCTTCTTGTATGTCACGGAAAGAGGCGAGTAGTTGCGAATGATTCGGACTGAACCACCACTGTGCAGTCAGACAGGGCGGATACATTATTGCAATGTTGGAGGTTGTTTCCGACCAATATGCATAGTTCCGACCGATCGCCCGTCAACCAATCAGATATGTTATGAATACACAATCCCAATTAGAAAGTGGTCAAATGTAACACATGTTATATTTGCGATTACACTTTCTCAGTAAAATACAGATTTTAGTACTTTTGTTGGATACCCAACCCTGAGAGTGTGGGTTCGAATCCAGGGCCTAGATTTTCGAAGCACTCTTAGCGCTAAGATAGTCGTAAGCCCTATACATTAACTTAGACTATCTTAGCGCTAATGAAGATTCGAAAATCTAGGCCCTGGTTGGGACTCAACCCAACAAAAGTACTACAATCTGTACTTTACTGAGAAAGTGTAATTCCAAATATAACGTGAGTGTCAAGTGTCCATATGTTGCTATGCCTGCAGAAAATGTTTTTATAAGAAATTCTATTTCAACCTACATTTTTAGAGTACCGATATTACAACTCACTGCATAAACTTCCCTTAAACAATTAAGCTAGGGGCACGGATTTTAATATCCGTACTTGATACAGTATGTGTGTGTGGTATAATACCATTATATCGTAAATGGTTGGTTTGAATATTTGGCTCACTCATACCGAAACTTAGAATCTCGGAAGCTACTACGGAGGTGTAGCAGATAGAGTGTTGTATTGTCGCCAGTTAACGTTATACACAGGGGCGTGTAACGCTTAGAAACAGCGTTAGAAAGACATATACGTATATAAGCCCTACCCTAGTTAGAAACAGCGTTAGAAAGACATATAGGTATATAGAGCCTCCCCTAGTACTATACTAGGGTAGGGTCTAAATACCTATATGTCTTTCTAACGCAGTTTCTAAGCGTGACACGCCCCTGTGACGTTATATGCATGGAACTATAGCAGACGACAATAATTCAAATTGAAACCAACAAGCTCGTTTGGTCCAAAGGGACACACAGGCCCTTAACTGGTCAGTGTACAGTTTGGCCGTTTGTCTTCAGTCTAAGCAATGTGTACACTGAATGCAACACAGATGACACCGTACTTACTACCTAGTGAGTACCTAGTACCTACCGAGTTTAGTTTTTAGCAATATTTAAGCAATATCAAGGCGGGGGAGTAGTCAGAAGTAAAGCGTGGTCCCGCAGAGGACCAATTAAGGATCGATTCCCAGTATATGGACACACTATGTAAAACCAAATCTTTAGGTCTTCCGCTGTGATCCTGGTGTGCTACTAAGTCCGTTTGCCATTGACGCATTTTGAAAGCCAAAGCGAGGGTATTTGGTCAAAAGAAGAGGAAGAAGTATTCTCACAAGTTCGCATATACAAACAAAAATGACAAATATAATGTGATAATTTCAACGTTTTATTGTCTTATATATACTATGTATGATATCACTCCTGGTGCATGATTATAAGGTGACTATCTGATGGAGTGAAACGCATTCCGTGTGTTGTGAGTCAGAGAGTTATCTTTATGTCAAAACTACACATGGATTGGACACGTGTACTGTCAAGAGTTGACTCGCAACAAGATATTTCCCACTGGAGGATGGAATAAATAGGGATTTACGCCTTCTTTTGCGTAAGATTTACTTGTTGTCCGATACTTTGACTATCAGGATGAATACAGTGATAGACAATGTGAATTGTTACAATTTTGAAACATGTCTTCTTCAATCACGCAATGGAAAAGGCTGAGAATCCCAGTTTTCATTAAAATCTTATCTTACTTCTCATTACCACTAAACAAAGATCAGACCAATCAGAGCGTCGCTTATCACAGAGTGACAGTCGATGTTTTTTAATCGTGCAACCTCGAAAAGGTTAACACTGGTTATTCCGAAGACAGGTCCGGAGTATAGATTTATTCCGCCAAATGTCATCGTCTGTTTCTCGCTTCAGGGTGATGTACATTTGAACGAAAAAAGTGCAATTCCGCCGTGCATCCTAGAATATTCTTTGGTTGAGTTTTCCAATTTTGTTTCGAGATCTATTTTCTGGTTGACTGAAACTGACGTCGCCAGAGCTATAACTGGTGGCACATGGATCTGGAAAGCTGCCTTCTGATTGATTAATATCGGCTTCTTCTTTGTCATTTCATTCGTCCGTCAAATTTCATAAAAGGTCGTCCTGACTTCACCTTTAATATTGGATGTCCACACATTTCAGTTTAGCGAAATGTTCAGAGTTAAGATAAGATTTTAATAAGATTGCCGAGTTACTCTGTGTGGATCTATCTATATTCGGCTGCAGACCCCGCCGAGGAACCCCTTCCCTTCCCTTCTGTTTCACCTGGTTCCCTGGACTTCCGGTTTGCTGACATCCAAGCAGCAGCAGTACCACCAGGATAGGAGCCGAAACTGCCGAACTGTGACCCACCATACTGAGGCACACTTCCAAACTGAGATGTAGGGCTGAATTTTGACCCTCCAAACTGAGGCATACTTCCAAACTGTGACCTAGCGCCGAACTGTGACGTATCTCCAAAAGAGGACTGGCCACCGAACTGTGATCCAAACTGATTTGTCGACCCGAACTGTGATCTCCTTGATCCGAATGACGATGCGGATGACGTATCCCCGGAAGTTTCTGGGTAGAAACCTTGGAAGTTGTTGCTCCACCAATTCTTCCACCAGGGATGAAATTCATTATTTCCTGGCCACCGTAAGCTTTTATCGCCTGACCCATGGTAGTAATCCATACGTCGTTGCTGAGTAATGGCCGGTTTCCGAGCTGCTGGAACCACTGCAGGTTTGAACTGCATAGGGTAAGATGGCATGTAACGCTGTATGGGTTGTCTCACAGGAGTCGGCCTTGAAGGTCTTGGGGCAGGGCGTGGCGCCGGTTTGGGGGCAGGGCGTGGCGCGGGTTTGAGAGCCTGTATAGGTTTGGGTTTAGGTCGCGGGGCTGATGGCGGTGGTGGTGGTGGTGGAGGCGTGGGCTTGGGTGTGGTTGGCGGATTTAAGACAGGTAGAACAGGTACGGGTGGTGGAATGGATGGAATAGATGGCTGTGTGTTGGTATTGTTCACCAAATTTTCAAGGCTGCCACGGACTTCTGCCATTTGGCTCGTGAGATCGGTTAGTTGCTTGGTTATGGAACCGATAGTCAGTTCCAAGAACGAATTCAGTTTCACCATGAATGTCGTAATCTTCGTTAAGGAGTGAAGATAACGGTCTTCCTTGGCAGCAGAAGCCCTTTGCTTTGGCCGAGGATGTAGCTGACGCTGTTACCGATGCCGCTGGAGTTAGGGCTTTTGCAGTGGCGGGTGTAGATGTAGGTCCAACATTTCTGGGTAGTGGTTTCACTGGAGGTATACCACTACTTGCTGGGACCCCGGCGGCAGGGCCATGGGGTCGATGGTATTTGACCGTAGACGGGACAGCTCCTATTTGGAACAGAAAATGTGCATTTTAAGTTGAGATATATTTGTTTGTCGAACATTTGGGTTCACAGTATTTGATGTTGGCCTGTACCAAGCAATCCAGTGAATGATACCAGGAGTATCGCTCAACGCAGTCGGCATACGACCACATGCATGGTTTTCTGTGGACCCATTTTTCCCCCCGGAATCTCAATGGGTTGAATGTGTGGTGCAGTACATGGTTTGAAGTGAGTGAGTTGTGTTTTACGTCGCTTTTAGCAATATTCCAACAATATCATGGCGGGGGACACCAGAAATGGGCTTCACACAATGTACCCACGTTGGGAATCGAACCCGGACCTTCGGCTTGACGAGCGAACGCTTTTAACCCCTTGGACTCCCCACCTCCCACATGGTTTGAAGGTCAAGGTGACTGTATCTGCACACACGTTTTCAGGTATATGAGGAAATAACCTGGCTGTAGATAGAGTACAATGGATGCATCCATACCCTGAACCACATCTGTCATATTAAATAAACGTGCATGTCAAATGGCGAAACATATTTATGACGTCATATATTTTTTATATTCCAAAAGTACATTATATTTTAGTATTCATTTAATATATCAACATGGTTATATTTATTTTCCTTTGAGAATTTTAATTTCAACATACTGATACATTTGCAATGTCTTGTCTACAAAGGCCAGTCACCACAAAAGCTATATAATGGGACCAATATTGTTTCAAGGGATCTGATGTTTTCGCCCACAGGGGCGTGGAACGCAAAAAATAGTCTCGAGGTATATCCCTATACTGTCCGAGGCTGGGGTATTAGCACTACATAATAGAATATCCTTTCGTTTGGTGCTGTGACAAGTGAAAAGGTGCACCTTGGTGTTAGTTTTTGCGTTACAAGCCCCTTGTGGTTTTCGCCCAAGATCAAATAAGAAACAGTGCGCTCTTTCATGGCTTAGCAGTGCAGTAAATGAAACGTACATGATAACATCAGAGAAAAAAACAATGACAATTTTAACAAAATGATCAAAATTGTATTTTCATATGGAATTGGTTACTTGTTTCGTTTAAAAAGGTCCACTCAAAAAATGTTTTCAGCCTCTTAACTAATCAAAGTAGCTCACCCCAGTTTATACCTATGAACTTACCATCACTGAATCCCAGCCAGGTCACCTGTATGGCGAGCAGACCGATAAGTATTGGTAACAGACCCATCGGAACCCTCACCAAAGGCTTGTGTGCTTGTAACGGTAGTGGCAGCTGCTCACTTTAACATCACGGGGTCAGGAGAACGTCATCGTCTGCCACAGCCGAGCCATGACAACCTCGTAAACCCGTCAACGAAGTCGTAGGTGGATGTTTTTCCTTCTCGTGACACAGGTCCAGTTAGGGTGGTGATATTGTGTTTTTGGATCCTAACTTGTTCAAGGAATACTTTATTACATATTTCGAATGTCACTTTACGACTGTGTGTGGCTATTTCAACAATGCCTATGGGGTCAAAAGAGACATGATTTTGTTTCCTCTATGTATTGTGTATTATGACGGCAGAGGGCCTCGAGCCGAATGTGACACGTGATTTTGAATCTTGGAAATCTTGTAAATGCCATTCGATGTTTTCCATGTCCCGTTACTTTGAGGCGGATATGACTTGATTAGAACACGCGTCACAGGGAATCAAGTAAGCAGTGTATTAATCAGAATCAGAAGTGCTTTGTATTAATCATAATACCATATATGGAGGGTTACACCGTCTACGTCATGGCTGTCATGTTAGCCTCATGCACTGTCGGCTCAAGGAAATTGTAAATTTTGTGTCAAAATAGAGCAAACTCTACCTCGATGACGTTATTCCTCCCATGGAAAGTATATTTCTCGTATTTATAATGTCTTAGACAAGCGATAGTGGAGAACAGGTTGATTCGACACCAGCAACTATCATTCGAGACGGATGCGATGGATTTAGTTACACGGAGGTACCCAATCGAGGTTCTAAACCTCCATTTTGAAACCACAGTTGGTTTATCTTCATTCAGCCATGGCACAAGGACAAACAAACGAACTATTTGGTTATAGTGGAAATGATCAATTATGTGTTACATAGTAGACTGTTTCATGTTACATGGTAGAATGGTGATTACTCGCACTCTGATTATAGGAGTCATTGTTGACGTAATACACCGGGACGTCACAGTAATAGATAGATTACTTCATATGTCATTAAATAAAAGTAGGGGATATTCCATTTCGGGGCGATATTATTTTGGAACCAAGTTGCATACTTGTATATGGATTTAGAAAAAGATTATTCCATTCCCAAAGTGTATGAATTTCGTACCTACACTCCAGTTCCTTTCAAGCATTTTTCATGATGTGCATGCATATGAAAATGGTTGTGGTCAAATCTGAAATTTACAGTGAAACGGGCCAGTGTGTTGCTGTACATTTTAGAGATAAAAACGAGACTGAAAGTTGATCTGATAGTGCTTTAAACTCAATCAGACGGGGACGTCTGTCACGCCAGGAACGGCTACGTGCAGTTGACATGTTAGACGTTGGAATAAGAGCTTCGTTCATTAGCAGATGGGGCGGTGGGGTAGCCTAATGGTTAAAGCGTTGGCTCGTCACGCCGAAGACCAGGGTTCGAATCCCCACATGGGCACAATGGGTGAAGCCCATTTCTGGTGTCCCCCGCCGTGATGTTGCTGGAATATTGCTAAAAGCGGCGTAAAACCAAACTCAGTCAGTCAGTCATTAGCAGATTACAGATCACGATATCGACAAATAACGTTTCGGGACAAACGTCGAGCTGGTCCACCAAAGGCGACACCTGGCGCACGTTTCATCAGCGCGACTGTGTTACGAAACGTGGTAAAAGTGCCTCTCACTTAGAGGTGAGCTTTACAGAACTACAGGTGTTAGTATGGGTTGACAGGCGATTCGTAATCACTACACAGATGGAAGTTGGAACCTACATGCCCGACGTCACTTTACTACAAGGCGTCGTTAGTGTCAAGAGCAATGGCGTGCGCCAATCGTCTTTGGACAACGTTGTGCTTTCGGATGAATCAGCTTTGACTGGACTTCCTGTACAGGCGCAACGTGGCGTAAGAATGGGCGACCGTTTATGGGGTGGTTCAGTAATGGTGTGGGGTAAGATCACTGTAACTTGCAGGACACTTTTACATGTTAATCACTCAGTACTACCGTCACAACGTCCTGGAACCCGTGAAGATCCGGGTTAGAATTGGTCTTCAGTAATGCATGCTAGTCGTAAGAGGCGACTTACGGGTTCACTGACTTGGTTGACCACATGTCATCGTATCCCAATTGCGTAAAACGATGCTTATGGTGTTGATCACTGGATTGTCTGGTCCCGATTCGATTATTTACAGAAACCGCCGCCATATAGCTGCAATGTTGCTGAGTGTGGCGTTAAACAACAACCAACCAACACCGCGCTGCAGACACAAGGCAGTGCGCGCCGAGATGACAACAGGATGACAACATAAGAGCACACAGTACCTCCAACATAATATAACAAGTTTACCATGACCTGTCCATACCAAACATGTCTTGGATATCATAAGATGGCGCGTACGTCACCGTCAACAACCACCGACCACTCACATATATTTATTTAATGTTACGTTTACACGATATATTCATTGGACCAGAGCCCGGTCACATTACCATATTCCTTTGCTTTCGATCATTCAGCCTAAACATTTTAGCATGAATTGGAAGAAGTCAGAACGCATGTCATTTCAAGAATATACTCCCTTTGACCAGGGATACTCTACAACCTTATAGAGTCTCCCTGCTTTGACTGATCGTACCGAAGACATACACATCCAAACTGCAAGACTCGATTAGGGTATTTCACAAACCCATGACAGTCTACAGAGGTCTATAGATTAAAATTAGTATCTATTTGAAACATCTTCCAATGATCGACCAAATGATCAATGATGAATAACATTTATAACCTTCACAGGATAAAAACCTGCTTAGGAAATCCCTCCCGACACGACTATCGGCCATTTTGACGTCGTGTATTTGATACAGGCTAAATGTTACTGTGAGAGACTTATGCTGAGGTACTTATGCAAGATACATTTTTCATCTGTTGGTGGTAGTATTTGAATGTTTAGGTTGTAACAAGATAATATTGAACATATTATAGATGGTCCTGTAAGAGCCAGATGAGCATGCGTGCGCGTATGTAACCTCTCCTTTTGAAGATCTATTTTGTTAGGTGAACTACAGTTACTGGTTGTTTGTCTGTCCGTGTACGTCACGTACTACATGAAATCATGTAATGCTTTCCTCAAGGTGTAGAACAGGATTAAAATTATAAGAATTCTAAAATGTAACATGCAGCTCTCAGTTGTGGCATGCCATGATACAGAAAGACGCGAGTTGTAACAAATGCTCACTCTCCAAGCCAGAGTTACATGCGCCGGAGTGTGACGAATGTTGTCATGAGCTGCGATATCCGAAGTTAAACGAAGGAAGGCGGAAACAAACGATGTTATTCCGAATGTAAGCAAGGTCAGCTCTGAAGGTCGGTCGGTAACAACTAACTATGGCTGCTAGGCGTGTTGTCACAGAAGGTGAGACTGTAATTTGCAATTAGTACCTCAGGATTCATAACTAATTGGTTATCGTAGACTTAGTAAATGGAGATAGAAGTAGTGACACTTGCAGAGATTTTTAGATCAATGGGTCAAATTTGGTAATGTAATGTGATATTCAACATACGAATGTGTTAGAATACCAATGACAAGATTTCTGTGAGTCTAAGGTGAGCGAATATTTTGTATTTTGTAATTTTTTAAATTTGGGGACCTAATGCAATATAGTAGGTACATGTCCGGTGGTTCGGTCAATGCATTCTATTTATTAGGATTATTTCAAGGGGTTAGGGTTAGGGGTAGAGGGTTTAGGGTTTGGGTTTAGGGTTAGGGTTAGGGACCTAATCCAATATAGTAGGTACATGTCGATGTAATCACGTGAGTACCATTTGTTGTTTTCCTTTTGCATTTTAATACTCTTTTTTCACACCAAAGCGGAAACCAAAAGCGTCGAAAAGTACATTAAGAAATGGGTTAATGTAGAAATTTTGGCCTAATGGAAATTGGCCTGGAATTTGCACTCTCAGCCTCTTTCACACGCAACATAAATTTTGTAAAGTAATGATTTGAAGGCTAACTCACCCTCGTGCCGTCACTACACATGCTCATGTCTCCCTCGTTCCTTAGTGCGATCCACATTATTCTTACAGTGTTCCCTACATCACTTTTCTGTCACAAAATCACCGATTTATATAAAAGCTGTCATTCATGCATGCACCGGTGAAATTCTCGTCTGGCCTGACATCAACAACCCTTTTCAGTTTGAGGCATATCGGCTCATTCCACGCCACATGTTAATTTGTAGATTACGGAATTGGACGAGTGTGCCAAATGGCATCGGATCCATTCGGCAATTGTCCGTAGAATAAAATCACGAGACACCAAGTCCACCCGTAGCATTCGTAATTGTCCGTGACCTATTCGACTCTTTCCGTTCATTTCCGTGACGTCACAGGAATGACTCGATAAATTTGCACATTGTGCAACAGTGTGGACGTAGCTCAGTCGGTTAGCTGTCGAGCTAACAATCCGAAGGTCGCGGGTTCGCGTCCGACAGGTTCTCACAAACTGGTTGCTTGTCTTAATGACACGTGACCTACGGCAGAGATCGTCCTCACGAGAAGTTGTGGTGCTGTATTCTAAAGGTGCTCCGAATGTTTTAGTCTCTCGAGGATATGGTACTTCAGGGAAAGGTGCTGTAGTACTTCACTCCTTCATTCTTGCTTGACAACTGTTTTAGGATTATACTTAAACGTCGCATAATATAATAAAGAATTTGCCGTCCATAACTTATCTTGCCTTTTTTATTACCCATGATCTTTGAAAATGACACTCAAACAGATCTTTATAGAACATGGACCATGTTTATCTGTTTGTTAATATAGTATATTTAATTACATGGTCCTGTGGTGTTCTTGTGTTGAAATGTTACAGATGCTAAGTTAGAAGTAGGAACATCATAGACTCTTCAAAAGGAATCAGTCCGAACCAGATAAGCTTTGTATCCCAAATATCAACATGTCTGTGCTATTATACAGTCTGCCATCTAGTCCCAAACCCGTGACTGGTAAAAGAATCTGTTCAGTGTTATAAACAAGCTGGTAACCATGATAACAGCCCATGTGATAATTTGAAACGCTTCTGTAAATGACTCTTAGACTT